CTAAAACTAAAAAAAAAAAAAAAAACAAGTGAGGGTAATTAACTACTGTACCAAGAGAAGGGGTAGATTCTCTTGAAGTCTTCAAATTGAGACTGAATGCCTTTCTGGGAGATACATTATTAGTCAAATAAGTTATTTGGCTCACTGTAGGAACCACTAGGATAAATAAATAAATAAAAATAATAAATTAATGGAGATATCCTATCTCCTAGAACTGGAAGGAACCTTGAAAGGTCATCAAGTCCAGCCCCCTGCCTTCACTAGGAGTGACCAAGTACTGATTTTGCCCCAGATCCCTAAGTGGCCCCCTCAAGGATTGAACTCACAACCCTGGGTTTAGCAGGCCAATGCTCAAACCACTGAGCTATCCCTCCCCCCATAGACAGGCAGTCAGACTAGATTATCTAATGGTCCCTTCTGGCATAGAACTCTGAGTAATTACAAGGGGGGAGAGGAGGAGAGAGAAGAAGGTGAGGCAGTTGCCAGTGAGCTGTTCGCAGAAGAATAAGCTAACAGAGACACAGACTGGCCCTGTGAAGGGTGTCTGAAGCAGTCAAGCCCTCCTAAACTTCCGGGGGATAGTAAGTCTTGGGCAGGGCTGGCTCTGGCTTTTTTGCTGCCCCAGGCAAAAAAGCCTTCCGCCGCCCCCCCAGCGGGGAGCACGGCAGGGGAGGGTGCTGAGCCCGGCCGGGGCCCCGCTCTCCCCGGCCGGCCGGAGCGCCGGGGGGAGGGCAGCGAGCCCGGCCGCGGCCCCCACGCTCCCCGGGTGAGCGCCGCCCCCCTCCAGGTGCCGCCCCAAGCACATGCTTGGTAGGCTGGTGCCTGGAGCCGGCCCTGGTCTTGGGGAAGAAAGATATAGGTGTGGACTGTTTATTGTGCTAAAATCCTTTTTCTCCTATGCTTTGCGGTGTTCTTACCGATAAGATTAAACAATACTTTGTTTTAAGAAACCTCTCTTTTCATCATATTAACCACTAGCTACAGCTCCCAAAGGTAAGACTTAGAGGTGCTGAGTTCTGTGAGACCTGCTGAGAAATCACAATTGGCTCACAGAGACCCAGTCTAAGTGTGGGGGAAATTGCAGGATTCCATATCAGGACAGGTAAAGCCAAGAGGTTTAATATTTAATGTGGGGAGGGTACACTCAGAGACCAGAAAGGGGTCAAAGGTGCTGCTAGCTCTGTAACGGTCACACAACTGATTTTTAACTGTACTGTTAAAACATCTTCCACCACTCATATTAATGTGTGGTTAACAAATGTTTTACAGAGTTAGTACCTGATGTTTGAATTTTCAGACAGGACCTTAGACGGGGGAGAGGTGTTGTAAGTAGGGTTCCCAGATCTCTCTGACAGTGGTTTTCAACCTGTGGTCTGCACACTCCTGGGGGTCCACAGACTATGATTAAGATTTCCAATGGGGTCTTTTTAGGGAAATTTTTTAGGGGTCCACAAATGAAAAAAGGTTGAAAACCACTGCTCTGTGATTACAGCAACCTTCCCGGGGCATATTATTCAAATTTGTTGTTTGCAACCCAAATGATACAGCACTGTACTACAGGAGTACTTGAAATTGAAACTGACTCATCTATTTTTGTTGACCAAAACTGACAGTAATACATAAAGATGAACACCATAAATATTCCAGCTACTAATACACAGAGAAAAAATAGCCATGGGTAAAGGATATTGAAAGCAAGGGTCAGCTATTTTATTAAAAATTAAAGGGATTGAAGTACCAGAATTTTAAGATACTGAAAGAGCAAGGAAATATGACTTTACAGTACGTGACTAATTTTATTTGTGTCCCTTTCGCTCAAAATTCTTGTGCCAACTGCTGTAGTTAATAGTATAGTGCACCACAAAACACATTTGAAGGCTTTATTTCAGCTAAGCTTGAATTCTCTTGTTTGTCAATTCAGTCAATAAAATTTTTAGCACAGGAAACCAAACCAATTTTCTGTCAAAACCCTGATCCTGCCATATTCAGGCTGAAAAATCAATGCAAGAGAGGTATCTCTGCTCCTTTGTTTCCAATTACTTAATTTGGCTTAAAATGCCCTTGAACTATTTTCCTTCGGACAAATACTAGTTTCCTGCTTTTTTGATCTGCTTGATAAGAGACTTTTATATCATGAAGATCTTCATCTTACCTAACGACAGGGTCACTCTCCAGTAACTCAGTAAGTCGCTGTAATTGCTCAGGATTAATGGATCGTCCCAGCAATGCTTCTGTGTTGGTGTAGATGAGAAAAGCTGATACAACTCCCAACAAAGTTCCCACACCTAGCGATCCCAGGCTGTCATAGTAAGGGTTGCCTACACACAGTCAAAAGTTGAAATTAATTTAACAGAATACTTCTAAAAGTGTAAAAACAAAACCTTTGTAATACTGAAAAGCAGACAATACATTATCTCTACACAGGAATTACTGTTTCTTTAGAGTATGTATTGGGAACCCTGTCTTTATTTCTGGTTAAGAAAATAAAACTGAATAAAGAAAATAGAAGATTTAAAGTAAAATGTTTCCTGTCCCAGGTCCTGGAAGCCCCATGTCCCAACCCTCCCTCCCTTACGACTTATGAATTTGTAGACTATTTTGTTAGGTGCTCAGATTCCCGGGCATGGGCATCATGCAAGTAAAAATACCATCAGCATAACCAAAATCTTGACCCACTTTCTGTGCTATGTGATGAGTAAAGCCTTCAAAGGAACAAATATCAAGTTAGCAGTAAGATCCATCAGTTTGGTGGAGAAGAAGGAGAAAAACATTACTCAATCTTTTTATAAAAACAGGAATCTCTCTTATTTGCCTTAAAACATGCAAGTAATACTATAAAACAGGACAGTAGCAGAAATCCATCCTGGAATGCATTACAGTACTTACATAATGGGCACGTTATACATTTATTTATATTCATTTTTCTGTCTGCAATATTATATTTAGGATACAATGTAAAAATATGCAAAGTATCACAAAACATTTTATAGAGGAGTCAAAGATGAAGTAAAGCAAATAAAGCTGCGAGGCAAGTAATTAGTGAAGACCTATAAAGAAAGGTGCCATGTTTATCCAATTCTTACTAAGTCAATTCCAAAAAACCAACACCCTTTAACAGGCAAATAACCCTCATCTCACAGTTATCAAGTCTCTCTGATTCTTGCATGGTGGGGAAGCAAGAGCTACAATGCAGAGAATGCACACACTTCTTAACACAGCTTCGTTCAGAAGCCCTTCTGTGGGGCCACAAAATCTGTTAAACAGATCATTCTGTTTTCCTCATCTACTTTGGCAGATGGGGAGTATTTGGGCTACCATATATCTTTGGGGCTAAAGTCATAACTTCAAAGCTACATCCTGGGAGACGGGAATAGGATTTCCTCCCTAAACCTTCCCTTCATGCAGAGTAAAACAGTGCACAGCCCAGTAACAAGGCTGTGCGCGGCTTCCCAGGATATGAGTTTATGTAACCAGACAAGAGAGAAAGTGATTTACATATTTGACTATGATAGATTCTCTTTTCATAAAAAGATTCAACTACAACTTGGGTTAACTTGAATCCAGTTAAAAGGAAATGACCCATCATACAAACTTTAAAATCTGCAAGTAGTCCCACTGGCTTCAATGCAACTACTGGAGTGAGTAAGAGTGAATGACTCAAGCCCTCATGTCTTCAGAATAGGAAGGCCAATCCATATGATCCTTCAATAGCATTATTAGAATTGTTTCAAGCTATAATCTCAACAATAACAGGGATTTGAAAAAAGGCATTCAAATATCTCCTAATTTCAAATATCTTCAACTCAATATACTTGAAATCAGATTAGAGAGTAATATACAACTGTGGAAGCTCACCACAGTAAAAGCTGCCTCCAAAAGATCTGCAAAGGGGCAGAGAGATTTTCATTAAAATATACTGCTAGAAAATCACTCAGATTCATCAGTTCTGACAGATTTTAATGCAAGCTTTTTTAAAGCAATATGAAATGTAATTGAATGTCATCAAAGAGACAAACAGCATTATTGCAGGATGCATGTATGCAGAGTGGTGCCACCAAGATTATAAACTGAAGCTTACGTAGTGCTATCATTAAGGCTACAATTAAGTCACGGGGGTGGCAGAAGTCATGGATTCCGTGACTTCTGCAACTTCTGTGACACTGGAGGCCCCCCACAGCTGACCAGACGCCCTGTAGTGTGAAAAAAATGCTGACTGAATGTGCTACTTAGGGTATACGGAGCATGTTCACATGAACTAAGCATGCTCAGTAACATCTACTGAAGCCAGCAGTGGGGGACCCCTGTAGCAGCCTAGCCTCTGCGGGCAATCCCCACAACTGACCGGCCGCCGGCAGAGACTCCTGTGTGCCCCAGCTGCCATTGCTGGTAGAGCCCCCCACTGCAGCTGCTCTGCCACCGCAAGCAGACGGTCCCCTCCCCCCGCCACAGGCAGAAGGATCCCAGAGCTGCTCAGCAGCCGAGCAGCTGCCCTCCCCACAGCTCCCAGACGCCTCTAGCCATGGCAGAGGGACCCTGGAACTGCTCAGCTGCTGCTGGAAGGGGTCCCCCACAACTAGAGTTACCATATTTTGAGTGTCCAAAAAGAGGACACTCCACAGGGCCCCGGCCCCGCCCCCAGCCCCGCCCACGCCCCCGCCCCAACTCCGCCCCCTCCCCTGCTTCCCGCGAACATTTGATTTGCGGGAAGCCTGAAGCAGGTAAGGGGGGGGTGGGAGGAGGAGGTGCGGCCCAGTCTGGCCCCCCCGGCCCAGCACCGCAGGCCCGGCCCCCGGCCCAGCACCACATGTCCCGATTTTCCTGGACATTTCCCCCCGGCTGGGGATTTGAAGCCCAAAAAGCCGGACATGTCCGGGAAAATCCGGACGTATGGTAACCCTACCCACAACTCCCCCACCAGCAGCAGGGGGGGGGAGGAGGAGGGGGACAACCCCCCGCCCCCCGTTCCAGCTCCACAGGCAATGGGGACCCTGCAGCTCCCAGCTGCTGCTGGCGGGGGAGGGACAGGGTGCTGGACCCTCCTCCTTCCCCATTTTGTCAGGAATGTATTTAGTAAGAGTCATAGTCACAGGCAAGAAACAAAAAAAACACAGAAGCTGTGACCTGTCCCTGACTTTTACTAAAAATATCCATGACAAAAATCGAAGCCTTAGTTATCAAACACCAGTCATATATCATACAATAGTGTAGTTTATAAAAAACTAATCAACGGATTAAAACATTTAAAATGGTTGACGTCAAAAGTGAAATTTTTCTTTTCTTATCAACTGACTTTGTAGAATTGGGAGATGAGGAGAGTCCCATAATCCAAAGGAAAAAAAATCATACATTTAAAGCAATTAACAAAGGGAGTCAAAAGGTATAGTCATACCATGCATACAAAACACAAGGATATTCTCTCAAATCAAGTCAGCCTCAATTTAAGATTGAGTTTTACCTGTTAAAGAAGTCAGACCCATGCAAGTAGCAGCTAACGTCACACCCAAAACTGCTGCAGCATCTTCCAACAACACCACATTTGTACTGGGATCACGACTCAGCCTGACTGAATATTTAATAAAAATTACACTAATGTTGAAATCTTAGCTTTGTTACATCATTCACAGAGTTTTGTAAACAGTTCTAATTCTAATAATGTAAAAGATGATACATTTATACATATATAAAAACCTATACTTTATAAGTAAACTCTTCTGTAAGTGTTCATAAATACATATAACAGTAAGAACAAGGAGGAGTCCTTGTGGCACCTTAGAGACTAACAAATTTATTTGGGCATAAGCTTTCGTGGGCTAGAACCCATTTCATCAGATGCATGGAGTGAAAAATACAGGAGCAGGTATAAGTACATGAAAGGATGGGGATGCAGACTAACACGGCTACCACTCTGAAGCATGTAACACAGTGTACACCAATTACGGAAACTAGTCCAGAAGATGTGTAAAACTAATGGGAAATTCTGCGAAATGCAACAACTTTAGTACTCAAGTGTCTAAGTAGTATTAAATAAGGCAATAGGTTTTCACCCAATTTGTAAAATATACTTGTTACTAGCATTCATAATCATAAGACTCATGTAAAACAAGAGAAACAGCTAATTATACTGTTCTTATTTGTATGCAAATTCAGGTAATAAATCCTCTTTTAAATAATGACACATACCATATTGATAAAATGACAGACCCTTGGCCCGGGAGCTCCTTCGAATTTCATTTATAGCAACAAGAAGGGTAGCTGAAATAAAAGTAATATTGTTGCTGAAAATGGTTAGAGGTAAAGTGACCAACTTTCTACTATAGGAAGGGCGGGGGGAGAGAAACACTTGCTCATATCATAGCAAACTAATTACAGTGCTCCTACCAACCATACCAGCAACAAATTTCTTTAGTAGATCAGACCCATAAAGTAGAGGGATAAACAAGTTTTACACATACAGAGTACAATAACTTCTTCCTACAAATACAAAGAAAATTGTAATATTCTGAATTTCAAATGTGAGAAAGTATAAATATTTCAAGAATTCTAATCTTGTATCTACACAGCACATAATACCCCCAAACAATAGTTCCATTAAACAAAACATCAATATACAATTACATGTGATGGCCAAAAAACTTTCCTGGTGACAATCAGTATTGTGAGCAGTGGCAATTCATAAAGAGAAGCCCTACCCATGCCCTCTTCTCTACATACAAGCCAACCCACTGATGAATACTACCGTGACATAATGGCAAAAGGCTTGCTGCACACACTTTCAGATTATGTGCCAGACATTCTTATATGTATTGTTCACATCCTATAAGATGAATATAGATCTAGAATATACACACACTATTCATAAATTCTAGGACTAGAAGGGACCTCGAGAGGTCATCGAGTCCAGTCCCCTGCCCTCATGGCAGGGCCAAATACTGTCTAGACCATCCCGGATAGATATTTATCTAACCTACTCTTAAATATCTCCAGAGATGGAGATTCCACAACTTCTCTAGGCAATTTATTCCAGTGTTTAAACTGTCAGGGTGATAAGAACTTTTTCCTAATGTCCAACCTAAACCTCCCTTGCTGCAGTTTATGCCCATTGCTTCTTGTTCTATCCTTAGAGGCTAAGATGAACAAGTTTACTCCCTTCTCCTTATGACACCCTTTTAGATACCTGAAAACTGCTATCATGTCCCCTCTCAGTCTTCTCTTTTCCAAACTAAACAAACCCAATTCTTTCAGCCTTCCTTCATAGATCATGTTCTCTAGACCTTTAATCATTCTTGTTGCTCTTCTCTGGACCCTCTCCAATTTCTCCACATCTTTCTTGAAATGCGGTGCCCAGAACTGGATACAATACTCCAGTTGAGGCCTAACCAGAGCAGAGTAGACCGGAAGAATGACTTCTCATGTCTCGCTCACAACACACCTGTTAATGCATCCCAGTATCATGTTTGCTTTTTTTGCAACACTGTTGACTCATTTAGCTTGTGGTCCACTATAACCCCTAGATCCCTTTCTGCCGTACTCCTT